ACCCTGCCCTACGCTGCTTAGTCAATAGAATTTGTATTAGGTTGTTCAAATAATTCTGTGCCCCTTACATGTTAGCTCTGAAAATTTATTTTAAATATTTTTTAAATTTTTGTTTTGCTTTACCTTATCCTACCCTATCTTTTTCTAGTCTACTCTACTTTACCTCATCCCCTCTAAAAATGTAAATTCTACCCTCATTACCCTATCCAAAAGCCCACAATAATATGTCAAAAAAATTTAATCAAACAAAACCCCCATTGTCAGTTTTAATTAAAACAAAATGGCAAAGTAACAAAACCGAACGCATTAACCCTAAATCCAAGATTTGATAACAAAAATGCCATATTGAATGAGAGAAAATGAGAAAATAACAAAAGTCATGCGTATAATGGCCATAAGTTTCCAAACTTCGTAAATATAATAAAAACAGAAAATCACGGTAAATGGGTTTTATTGGCCGTGTTATTTATTCGTTCGTATTTGTCTGCTCGGCATAAAAATAGATTTATGGGTAGGGGTTAGTACTAAAAGTTTTACTTAAAAAAAATTTTTTTTTAAAAAAGTACATACCACTAAATTAATAAATGACAAAATTTTTTGAAACCGCCCTCTTTTTTCCCTGATTCTGCTCTGTCTTTGTCCTGCCTTTGCCCTGCCTTTGCCCTGCCTTTGCCCTGCCTTTGCCCTGCCTTCGCCCTGCCTTTGCCCTCCCTGCCTTTGCCCTGCCTTTGCCCTGCCTTTGCCCTGCCTCTGCTCTGTCTTTGCTTTGCCTTTACCTTGTCTTTGACTTGCTTTTAACTTTCTTTTGCCCTGTCTTGGTCTTGCAACGAAAAGTCCAACTTAAAGAAAGTGTAAAACAAATCTGATTTTAAGGCTCTTAACAATAATTTTTGAGTTGTTTTTAAAAGATAAAAGCCAGAACGAAAAAAGTGCCCCGGTTTCACTTTTTTTTACAGGTTGACTTTAGCCTGGGAGTATTGGTAACATAATACCCTTAAAAAATTAAAAATTTTTTTGTTAAAAAATCACCCAAAATACAAGACAAATTAATATTTGTGTCCTTCTGTGTCTCACAAAAAAGTTCAAGAAGTTAGATTTCTGATGCTTTTCCCTTTACGTCAGTGTAAAATGTCAAAAAGCCAAGTTAGCTTAATTTTATCGCAAGAAGCAACATGTACGTCAAGGGAACGGACTTGCTAGAAAAACAAAAGCTTTTTCTGCTTTTTAGGCTTACCTTTTAGGCACGGTTTGGCTCCAAACCGAAACAAATTTTTATGAGCCAATCCCAAACCAAGATCTAGCTAAAAATTAAGTTTTGTGCGGCTTGATTGCCATATCTAGTCTAACCACTCTCTTTACACAATACTAAAAAAACAATCAAGAAATGGATCAGACATCTCGAGTCTACGACAAAAGTCTCTAAACGTTCTATGTAACACCTATATCCTATAGCTGAAAAACGAATTGTCGGTTGAAAGCGTGGGTTAAATTGGATTTGTCGCCTTTTTAAAGTTGTTACAATTTTTCGCTAGGTCTTGTCAGCACGCGCTTTAACACGTTTTTGGAGAAAACTAAGGTAATATAAGTTTGATCAAAAAGCGTAAAATTCTATTTTATCAACTATAATGCCCTACCTTACCTAATACAATGCCCTACTCTACCTACTACTATATAATGACCCTGATTTTGGCTGACATAAAAAGTCTTGAAGACTTCAACTCAACCTTAACAAGTCTGTACTATACTCATTGAAAGTACTATACTCATTGAAGCTAAACACTATATTTACAAATGAACCCAAAGTACGAATAATCACAAATTGAGCCAAAAGTACTTGCCATCCTGACTAAACGCCTACAAACGTTTTGAAAAAGCGTAATGAGGAAGGTTGGGGATGTTTATAGCCAAAGGTATTTTTAGTCCAAAAGCTTTTGATACATTAATTAATCACCGAACCAAAGTGACGTGACAGGAAACATCATTAAAATGCTTGTGCTTCCACACCTTCTAATTGAATAACAAACTGATCGAAAAATATAATAAGAAGACAGGTGACCTGATGGATCGGAGTTTGGCACTTTTTATGTTTTACACGTACTGTAACCAAAAGAAGTACTAAAGGCGATATATTCTAACAATTATAGTACAACTTACTAGTAGCTCTAAAAATGATAGTTTTGTTAAAAACTAATCGTTGCAAGAACCACAAACAAAAAAGCCTTAGAAAAGCTTCCTTTTTAAACTGATTACGACGTTGGAGTTGGCCCCGCGCCGCTCAAGCCAAGCCAAATATAAAAAAGGCTAGGCAAGTTTGTGCAGGCCTAAAGACTGGTCTTAGATGCCGGTTTAAGAAAGGCTTCAAGTAATTAATTTGTGAAAAGTGTAAAACTTGGCTATGATAAACGCTTCAGCATGACCTTGACAAGAGCCGAGTCAACCCAAAAAAAATTTTGAACGGGCTGGATTGCCGAAAGAAAAGCTTAGATGAATCTTACTTAGGTTTTGCAGAATCTTATTTTAGGTTTTGCAACACAAGATTTAACTTGGAATAACTGAAAGCAAATAAACTAAACTGAAGCAAATTTAAAAGAAATTGGGCTAGACTGTGAAATATGTGTCTGAGGCCCACACTAACAAAAAAAGTACTCGACCTGTCCCGCCCTGATTGACCTTATACTTTTTTATATAGGAAGATCATGTAGTAAATATAAGACTTTCAGCAATGTAATAAATTGCGCTTTTCAGTCAATCTCGAGAAAATCGAGATCAAAAAAATGTGTTTTGAACTTCCTGCCAAATTGGCATTGTGTTTCCAGATTATAACTTCGCCATCTTTGGCTTTTTAAGAATTTTTCTTTGATATGCTCGTAGAATACCTTTAAATGAACCAAAACTTTTAAATTTGTAAAAGGAAAGTCGAAAAAAGTGCTTGAAACACAATCCCAAATGTGCCAAATTGGCGGGAAACCAAAATAATTCAAATTTAAAACTCAAAAGTTTTAGATATTTTTCAAAATTTAAAACTGCCTTATGTTTATTACTTAAAGGCATGTATAATTGAGTGTCAGTTACTACTACCAATCCGGAAAACAAAATGTCGTCATACTTCTTATTCGTTTTTTATTTCGGGTAAATTCGAATACAATAAAGAGAATCTCAGTGTGATCAAACAACAATAAGGCGGATTATGTCATCACAAATCAACTCGTCTGGGAAGATCTTAGTTATTGGGGGTTTGAATACCTTGGTTTAGTGGCTAGAAATAGGAATTAAAAACAACCTTTCTGGGCTTGGTAGACTTTTTAAACTTATTTTAACGTTTGTATGCTTGAATTTGATTATGCTTTATATTGCTTATGTTGATTTAACAAGGGAATTTCACCATGTCTCCGTCGGATTTTGGCCAGTGACCTAAAGGGGATATAAGATCATAAAAAGTTACCAAGAAAATCATTTTTGATAACTGCTAAATGGCTTTGGCTAGCGCTTTACAGTAAGCTCAATGTTCGTATATGTTTATAGTAAGATGCAACTGAAAAATTTTTAATTTTTAGTTATTTTTTTAAACTAACTAAAGCAATAATATAAAAAACTTCAATTCAAATTATTGTTTAACTAGCTAAAAAGTACATATTGTCATAATGGCAAAAAGCCAAAACAAGATTGGCAGCATTCCAACCTACCGGTTTTTGTACACCAGACAATATCTGTAAAGGGTCCTGTTTAGATCTACGCGATACTAATCAGTCAAAAATAAAGGGGCAAAAGGTGTTCTCTATGTAAATTTTTTAACTGCAAGTAAATCGCTAGCCAAGGCAGTTTAACAATTTTAAAAAATTGGCTCTTTTGTAACTTTTTATGCTCTTTCATCCTATGTAGGTCTCGTTTTAAAAGCCAAAGAATATTAGGTGTAATTTCCTGAGTAAAGCCCTTTATTTAGTTTAAAGTTTGTTGTATTTGGGTAAAGGCAGCAAAAAGTTACAGTAATTCAAAATTTAGTTTAACATTAGGTGTTATATTTCATTGCTTTACTTTAATGATACAATAATTTATTATCAACGTATGAACTGAAAATCTTGAACTTATTCCTAGAAAGCCTGAATCAAAGCCTTTGATTCAAAGGTTACAGTCTATTCAGTAGACCATGCATTGTAATTAACTTTCTCTTACAAAACGAAAGTTTTTACTCAAAAAATCTCCGGAAAAAGATTTGTCGTAGAAGCAGTAGCAATAAGAAAGAGCATCTTGTAGCTATAAGAAGAACATCGACTTTAGAAACGTTACGCAACACGCCAATTACAAATTATTGTATGTTGTGAATGGTGAAAGTTGAACGATCTTCTGATGTGGAAAATCGCCGCTGAAACTGGGGGTGGGGTTGGGCTTGGTGATCAGGCTTACCTTTTTCTTTATCTTCTTCTTGAGGTTGATTCGAAAGTCTTGAGACATTTCTATTGTGTTGGGTTGAGCTTCCGGGTTGGGGGTACTGTGATGGAAGTTTTTGTGAAAGAGGGGTGATGTGCTGGTAAGGGTATTGCTCTGAATACTCTGTTGAGTTACGGATACTGGGCTGAAGATTTTTGTGGGTTAGTGCTACTGTGTTGATCTCTTTTGGGTTAGTAGTATTGCTCAGAAAACTTTTTTGGTTAAGAGTACGTGTTAAAATCTCTTCTGGATTGGGAGTACTGTGTTGAAGGTCCTTATAGGTGCACTGTACGTTTACTGAGGTTTTTAGGTACTTTATTATAATCTTTCAGTCTACATATATAAGTCGTGTTTTATAGTGGGATATTTGTAAGGGTGTTAAAAAGTCTCATATTTAGGTCACATTGAGGTAACAGTAAAAAAGCAACAAGACTTTGTTTTGACAGTTCGATACACTTGTTTTTGCCATTATTATTGAACGTGCTATACTCCGTGAGACTGTTTATGAACATGCCGTATTATACTATTACCTCTCTGGCTCTCAAAACCTGATTTCTAACTAATTTAGGTCCCAAATGCCATCTTCAATACCTACAACAATATTATTATACCTTCTCCTACTATCCCATAGCCACCAAACTCACGCTGGTGGTTATGACAGTGGCTACGCAGCATCACATGGTATTCAAGGCCCAAACGGCGAAGCCAATGGTCTGAACGGTGGAGCTAATGGCCTAAACGGCGGAGGCGGTGGAGGAGCCGGCGGAGGCATTTTCGGCGGCCCAAAAGCTAATGGAGGTCAAATACCCAATGCTTTAGTTAATGAACCGGTCGTAACCTGTGGTGCTGAAAGCGTATCGATTGACTTTACAACTAGTCGCGAGTTTTCTGGCAGGATATTTGTGAAAGGGTACTCACAAGACACGAGTTGTTCGTTAAATGGCAGTGGAGCGAAAATTCATGGATTTTCAATCAATTTTGATCAATGCGGACTGAGGAGGAATCGAGAGGTAAAGTAGCGTTTTTGACGTTTTTTTTGTATTTTTAAAACAGAATTTTTATAGAAATCGATTTGTTTTTTTAATTAATAGGTGGGGGCCCAGAGCCGGGCTCTAGGGGCCCCCAAAGTTGCAAAAAAGTTGAAAGTGGTTCCCTCTGTACATTTTTCAAAAAATTTTTTTTGCAAAAAATTGGCACTGGTCCATTTTTTCGATCCCCGTCCCCAGACCAAAAATCCCCGTCCGGCCAATGGTAGAGCCATTTAATTTTTTTAATAGTTTTTTATTTTAAAAAGTAAAGGGAGCTTTTTCTTGCTTTACTCTTTTACTGCCTTGTCCTAACAATAAACATTTTATGTTTTACTGTTTTAATTGTTAATTTACAGTCAAACTTCTGTATAACGAACGGCTCGAGAATTTGAAATTTGTTTGTTATAAAAAAGTTTTGTTATACAGAAGTTTTTACTACACTGTTCAGTTTCGGCCAGGGATTTGAAATCTGTTTGTTATACAGGATTTTTCTACAAGACTGCCTTTTTATGACTAGTTGTTTGACTTATGTTGACTTATTTTTATTTTTAGATGAACGGAGTAAGCATAGCAGCAACAGTAGTGGTCTCTTTTCACCCTATCTTCATCACTAAAGCTGATAGAGCTTACAAAGTCAACTGTTTCTACATGGAAGCGAGGAAGACTGTCAATCAAAATTTGGAAGTTAGGTACGTCATTTGACACTGTATTTTATTTTAAATTTTTTTAAATTTTTCAAAAAAATTTTGAAATTTTTAAAATTTTAAAAATATTTTCGAAATTTTGAATTTTTTAAAAAAATGTGATTTTTGTTAGCTTTTGAAAATTTCTAACCCTAAATTTTATTTTTTACCAATTTTGAAAACATACTCACATAAAATTTGTCATTTCAGTGCAATAACAACCAAAGCCATTGACCGTCAAGCTTCATTGCCAGTTTGTAAGTATGAAATCCTGACCGATGGTCCAAATGGTGGTCAAGTGCATTATGCCAAGATTGGAGATCAGGTTTATCACAAATGGTCTTGTCACACGGATGTGGCTGATGTTTACTGTATGAAAGTGCACTCATGTACTGTGAATGATGGACAAGGTGGAGATCCGGTTACTGTGCTTGATGAAAATGGGTAAAATGCGGTTGAAAACAATGTTTTAAAAAATTTTAAATTTTTTTAAATTTTAAAAAAATTTTTAATTTTTAATATTAATTTTTAGCTGTGAAATCGATGGCTATGTGTTACAAAACCTGGATTACCAATCAGATCTAGTGGCTGGTCAATCAGCATACGTATTTAAATTTGCTGACAAACCTACATTACATTTTAATTGTCAAATTGAATTGGCTCTGAAGGACAAAAATGCCGGCTGTGCTTATACGGTAAGTTACAGTATTCTTGTACAGGTTTGGTAGGGTAGAACACGGTAGGGTTTGGTAGGGTACGGTAGGAAACGGTAGGCTACGGTAGGTTACTGTAGAATACGATAGGTCACTGTAGGATACGGTAGGATACTGTTGGATACGGTAGGTTACTGTAAGATACGGTTAGGTACGGTAAAGCAGGGTAGCATAATGTAGAGTAAAGTAAAACAAGGTTTTTTTAATTTTATTACCTAAATTTGAAAAATTATCTTCAGAAGCCCCAATGCCAATCCCCAGCCGACTACTCCACCGGCTATGGCTCCAAGCCTTCAAACGGAGGCGGATACGCAGCCTCAGGCAGCTCCTCTGCCAGCTCCGAAGCCTTCCCCCGCCCACCCACGCCCAACTCACCCAACTTTGGCAATTACCAAGCGACCACGGTACCATTACCACCAAAAGCTGGTATGTTCCAAACGGAAGTGAATCCGAGTAGTTATTGTAAGTAATCGACCAGTAAGACGTATTTTTGGTATGTTTTAGCTGGTGAATCGGCTAGCGAAGAGTTCTCGTACAGTGGACTGGGCAATGGACCGCCGGGCGTGTCACCGCCAACTGGATACAAGGGCATGGGTGCTTCACAGGGCTTCACACCTGGCTTGGGCAAGGGCAAGAATGGATACAAGAAAGTGGTTAAAAGAGGTAAAATACGAACAAAAGGAGCAAAAATTTTTTAAATGTTAAACTATTTTAAAAAGTAGTTAAAAAAAGTAAAATACGCGCTACCATTGTACTTGATTTTTATTTCCAGATGACACAAACAAGGTTGCCGACTTTGATCTGCCTGAACAACAACTTGTCGTTATTGAAATTGATGAGGACGAGAAAAGTAAGATTTTTTTTGCTATTTTTTACTTTTCTAGTTTTTCAATTTAAGTTTCAAGAAATTTTGAACCATTTTTTGAAATTCTAAAGACTTTTGAGATTAGAGCTAAAGCCAAATTGCAAGAACCTTTCGACCAGAATTCTTTTAAATTTTTGATTAAAAATCTAAAACGTTTAAATTGTAGATTAAAATTCAAAATTCTGTAAGTTTTTAGACCAGTTTGACCAAAATCCAAAATTCCAGGAAATTTCCGACCAGAATCTAAAAGTTTAGGAAAACGTGAACTAAAATTAAATTTCCCAAGTATTTTTGACCAAACTTAATATTCTAAGAACTATTGAACTATTTTTTAAAGTTATGTAAGCTTTTGGACAAATGTTTAAAATTCCAAGAACTTTTGAACTAAAACTTCAAATATCATGAAATTTTGGACTAAAATTCAAAATTTGAAAGACTTTCGAACCAAACATGAAATTCTCTGAACTTTTGGACCAATTTTTAAAGCTTTTAAAAATTTTTGAACCGGCTTTGAAATTCCATAAAACTCAGAATTCAAATTTCCAAAAAAAATTTTTATTTTTTTTAAAACAAAAATTCAAAATTTTGGTCGAAATATCATTTTCAGAATCCGAAAACCGATCAGCGTCAATCTCTCGCTCGAACCAACAACTATGTCTGTCATCCACAATATTCGCTGGCCTTTTCGCCGCTTCCGCTTTGCTATGCGGAATGATTGCCGTTTTCTTATATTCAGCATTAAGAAACCATCGAAGTGCAATTCAGAAAGGAGCTTGGGGCATGTGATGACATTTTAGTACAACTGGGATTTTTGTAATGACGTTTTATAATAGTACAATACTAATTTTAGTATTATAACTTTGAAGTTGTATGTTGCTTGTTTGTTCATATTTGGAAAATGCATGTTTTTGTATAATTTTTTTAAAAATGTTATTGAATTCTACTATGGTTAATAAACTGAATAAATATATATGAGCATTAAGATGGGAGACGGAAGGCAGGGTGGATCAAGGTAGAGTAGAGAAGAAAAAGGTAAAGTGGAGTTGAGTAGGGTAGGTTAAGTCAAAGTGAAACAAAGTAGAGTAAGTCAAGACACGGTAGAACAAAGTAGAAAAAAGTAGAGCATTGCAGAGTAAAGAAAGGCAAGGTAGAGTAAGGTAGAACATAGTAGTAGGGCTTTGAACTAGAACTTTTTGTTAGGGTTCTGAACTAGGACTTTGAGAGGGCTCTAGGCTAGGGCTCTGGGCTAGGGCTCTAGGCTAGGGCTCTGGGCTAGGGCTCTGGGCTAGGGCTCTAGTCTAGGGCTTTGGGCTAGGGCTCTAGAATAGAAAATTGTTTCTATTTTAATTTTTTTGCAATACAATCCTTTTGTTTGCCTTAAAAATGTTTAAATGTCATTTACGTAGGCGCAATTGCAGGAAAAAATAAAACGTTAAAACAATGTTTGCTTTAAAATTTGAACGGTTTTTACACACTGCAATTAAAATTTTATGTATTTTTATTGTAAAAGTGATGTCGATATTGAAAACGAGACATAGATCACTACGAAGTAAACTTTCTTACTACTTTTTTTCGTTTTTTGGTCCAAAAGTTCTTGGAATTTTAGAATTTTCCTCCAAAAGTTCTTGGAATTTTGAAGCTTGGTCTAAAAGTTCTTGGAATTTTGAAGCTTGGTCAAAAAGTTGTTGAAATTTTAAAACTTGGTCCAAAAGTTTTAACTTTCGTCCAAAAGTTCTTGGAATTTTAAAGTTTGGTCTAAAAGTTCTCGGAATTTTAAAATTTGGTTTTAAATTTGTTAGGGTTATTTGTTAGTTAGGAAAGTTTTGTGTTAGGAAAGTTTGGTCCAAAGTTCTTAGAATTTCAAAGTTTGGTCCAAAAGATCTTGAAATTTTAAAATTTTGGTCAAAAAGTTCTTGAAGTTTGAAGTTTCGGCCTAAAAGTTTGCGATATTTCAAAGTTTATCTTAAAACTTACTAGAGCTATCAAACTTTTCCCTAGCAGTTATTTAAATTTTTAAAATTAGCCTAAATTTCTAAGTTTTGTTTCAAGAAAATATCTGTATTTTACAATAGTTTCAAATTCTTATTTAGCAAAAAAAACTTTGTCTAACCGTTAATTTTTACCGTATTTTAATCACTCTTTCAGTTGTTTTTGAAACTTTTTCTGTCAAATTTGTTACAACTTGTGCTTAGCAATGTTTTTCAACGTCGTTTGTCAAGCTGTTCGTTACCGTACATAAAATACTTCAAGTCATGCGTAATTAACTTATAACGATTTTTAACGTACTTTGATGGGTTTATCACAACATAATCTTTAATTAAAATGTCTTTTTGTTGCAAATTTTAAACTTTTGAGTTTTTTACTTTGCGGTTAAACTTTTTGAACTTTTAGAAAAAAAGGGCACGACTGATACTGTAAAGAAAATTTTTGCTATTTTTTGTCTTGTAAAGAAAGTTTTTGCTATATTTTGTTTTGTAAAGAAAGTTCTTGCTGTTTTTTGTTCAGTAAAGAAAGTTCTTGCCGTTTTTTGTTCTGTAAAGAAAGTTCTTGCTATATTTTGTTTGTAAAGAAAGTTCTTCCCATTTTACGTATTGTAAAGAAAATTATTGCCATTTTTTGTTTTGTAAAGAAAGTTCTTGCCATTCTTTGCTTTGTAAAGAAAGTTGTTGCCAATTTAACCCATAAAACCTGCCGTCTCTAATCTCTACATGATCTTTTTTTCATTTTTACCCTAAAAACGGTCGAAGCATTTAAAAAAACATTTTTTGAAACAAACGGAATTTTAATTGAATAGACAAGTCACCCAGCTGATAAGAGATAGTAAAAAGAAGAGAGAGCAGCAGACATTGCCGTTTTAGATTTTTGTCTTTTTTAAATTGAACTTGATTAAAAAAGTCTCGAATTAAGCCTAAATTTGATTTCGAACAATTTCAAATTAAGCCTAAATTTGATTTTGACACAATCTCGTATCAAGCCTAAATTTGATTTGAAACGATCGTGAATTAAGCCTAAATTAAATTTAAAACAATTTCAAATTAAGCCTAAATCGAGAGTAAACTGTAATTTGACGTCAATTCGCTTCCGTTCAGTTGGACAAACCAAAATGTTCAAACAAAGCATTAGTCTTGAATTCGAATATTGTTTTTAATTTGAATAGGATGAACTGAACAAATAGGGATTTTTTAAATCTGTAGGTTTGAAATTTAAACAAACTTCATTTTTTAAATCTTCAGGCTTTATACAAAGCATGTTTTCAAAAATGTTTCAGCCAACCTCAATCAACGTACTTTACAAAAGAAATTAAAAAATTATTTAGCTGATGAAAATAACAAGAACTTTTTTTCAAAAACACAAAAATGGCAAGAACTTTCTTTACAAAACAAAAAATGGCAATAACTTTCTTTACAAAACAAAAAATGGCAAGAACTTTCTTTACAAAACAAAAAATGGCAATAACTTTCTTTACAAAACAAAAAATGGCAATAACTTTCTTTACGAAACAAAAAATGACAAGAACTTTCTTTACAAAACAAAAATGGCAAGAACTTTCTTTACAAAACAAAAAATGACAAGAACTTTCTTTACAAAACAAAAAATAGCAATAACTTTCTTTACAAATCAAAAAAAGCAAGAACTTGCTTTACAGAATATAGTTTGGTCCAAAAGATCTAAAATGGCAAGAACTTTCCTTACAAAACAAAAAATAGCAAGAACTTTCTCTACAACAATTAAAACAACAAAAATCTGTTCAACAAGATTTATAACAGTCTTATGTTTAGCCACCACCCCTATCAACTAAGAAATACAACTCAAGATCACCTCTTCTCGTGCCAATGACTGACCAGATCATAAGCCACTGAAACAAAATCAATGACCAGACATCTGACGTTGCCTTCCACTTCCAAAATGGCCTTCAAATCAACAACAATATAAAAGTCTGTACCTTCTAGTTTGCAACCTCGATTTCGAAATTGTTTAAACGTGAACTCGACCAACAATCTTCGAACTATTGGGCTTACTCACGGTTGTTTATATTGTTTCGGAAGGTTTGTCTTATGCGGAAGTAGTCAAAGGACAACGGTTTTTGATGTTCGCTTTATTAATGAGGCATCGTTAGGCCTAAAGATAACTTTGTGTGGGTTAGAAATAGCGTTCTTAGGTTTAAATTAGAATTTATTGGCTTAAAAATGAGGTCTTAAGCTTAAAAATAGCATTTTTAGGTTAAGAGTGGTTTGTAAACAAAGTTTTTTCTAACTTTTGTATTGCAAAGAAAGTTCTTGCCGTTTTGTGTGTTCTAAAAAAAAGTTATTACCTTTTTACCTTTCTAGAGAAAGTTCTTGCCATTTTTTGTCTTGTAAAGAAAGTTCTTGTCATTTTGTGTTTTGTAAAGGAAGTTTTTGCCATTTTATTTTCTGTAAAGAAAGTTCTTGCCATTTTTTGATTTGTAAAGAAAGTTCTTGCCATTTTTTGTTTCGTAAAGAAAGTTCTTGCCATTTTGTGTTTTGTAAAGGAAGTTTTTGCCATTTTATTTTCTGTAAAGAAAGTTCTTGCTTTTTTTGATTTGTAAAGAAAGTTGTTGCCATTTTTTGTTTCGAAAAGAGTTTTTACTATGGTTGGTAACTTGCAGGCTGCGAGTGATACTCAACAAAACGGCCATTTCTTGTGTTGTAAAGAAAATCTTTGTCATTTACTTGTTATCTAGACAAAAATCTTAGCTCAAATTCAAAAATTTTCATTTTTTCAAAAAAAATTTTTTTTTTAATTTTTAAATTTTAAAAATTTTAAAAATTTTAAGTTTTAAGTTATAATTTTCAAAAAATCTCCAAATTCCGATGAAATTTATAATATTATAGTTTATTTTCACGTATTGTATTATCTGATATTTGTATGTTAACATAATTGAGCTGAGAGTATATAAAGCTACAATAATCTAAGAGAAAGATCACTGGGTAAGATAGTGTACTGTACAGTAAAAGAAAGGCTGAATCCATGTGGAGGCTTGCGTTAGGCGCATGTGTGGTAAAAAATAGCATTATTACAAAAAACGGTCGAAAATAAGAAAAATCGACCAAAAAATAGCTGAACTAACAAAATGTACAATCATAAAGTTACAGTATAACAAAATTTACAAAAATCAATTAACATTACAGTAGACTTATTATTATTATCGAGTGATATCGTATTGTAAGGCACTAATCTCAAAATGAAATGTTATAGTAGCGGTGTGATACAATGATATCACTGGAATGTAGACAAATATATTGGCATACATAGGAGTATGTATAGCGTTAATAAATAGGTAAAACTCTGATGAATAATATTTAAAGAAAAGTCCAAAATTAATTGAACCTGCGGCCAACCTTGGAGCAGCACTGCGAAGCCGATGGAAGACGCAAGAACTCCTGCGAAGCCAACTTCACCTTCAGGTTGTCGTCGATGGTGAAGAACAAGGTGCCAACGCCGTCCAGGTAGATCTTGTCCTTGTTGACAGCCACAAACTTGTTCTTCTTCACCTCCTTCTCAACAATAAACTCCCAGTCGCCGTGACCACAGCCGTTCTGCATTGGACTGAAGTGGTTGGTCTGTCCGTAGCATGGGAATGGCATTCTCTCGGAGATCTCGCCATTTGGAGCCTTGACACGAAGGTAGAAGGCTTGGTTGGTCAAGGTGGCAAAGTCCATCTCAACTTGTTTGGCTTCAACTACACAGTCGTTGTCCATGTCGCTCAGGAGGCATGGCTTGGCCGATTGAAGGGACGAGACGGTACGGCGAAGACCACCAAGGCCACCAGCCGAGATCTTGCGGACTGATGACAATTTGGGCTGTACGTGAGCGGCCAGCTCGTCACATTCGTTGGCAAATTGTTGACGTGAAGTGGTGGCTTGTTGGCCACAGAAGGAGTGGGTGATTGGGGATGGTGCGGATACCATGAACATGTTTTTAGTCGTTTAGAGCGTGTGTTTGTATTGGATTCTGGAAAAGGTAAAGTTTAATATTAAAGTTTTTGGGGTTTTCTCGGTAAAAAAGACATCGCGGATTGTAAAACATATTATTTTAGGTAACATTTTTTATTTTAAAATTAAAAATCTTAAAAAAGTTAAAAATTTTAAAATGACATGGTGAAGATAATATCAGAAACTGAATTCTGATCTCATGCCAAACTAAAATATCAAAAAAAATTTTTATTTTTAAATAATTTTAAAAAATCCTATTTTAAAACCTCAAAAGTCCCAAAAAATGCTTTTTAAGCTAATCCAAAACCCGATAAACTAGTCCCAAAAACTTTAGTAAGCCAGTCCAAAAACCCATGAGCTACTCCCAAGACCATCTCCAATGAGCTGCTCCCAAAACCAGCTCACTTCCACGTCGAAAACGTACTCAAAACCCGCCAACAAAGTACGGCGAACGTTGTAGACGAAACCCGAATGTGGATGGCGTTCGGTGGGCTTTATATAGGCGCCCGCTCTCCCCACCCCGCCGAAAAAGAGGCGGACAGACGGGCACGCCCACTTTTGTTCTTTGAGAAAAGGAATCGTCACCCGGTCCGGGGGGAGGGCGGTGCCGGTCGCTAGTCGAAACCAAAAAGTTAGCTAGCGATTTTCTGCGAGTCGACACGAGCTTTTTTTTTTTGCTTTTTCGAGCTTTTTTGCTTGTTTATATTGTGATGGGGTCTTCAGGCTATAAAGTTTAATATTGTTGGTTAAAGGAGTTGGAGATAAGGTTTGATATTGTTAGGTAAAGAAGAGGAATTTAAGGCTAAATATTTTTTATTAAAGAAGGATAAGATAAAGGTTAACATTATTAATTAACCAAGAGGAAAGTAAAGGTTAATATTCTTAGTAAAGAGAAGTAAAACTTAATATTGTATACAGAATATGGGTTGATGAGGGGTGTAATAATGGGAATTAGACGAGTTAATGATATGTTTTGAGCTGAAAACATAGTTTTTAGGTGAACTGGGTTAGCCAAATGGGGGAGTAAAGTAGAATGGATTATATTGTGTTTTTTGATGAGGCATGATAATTGCTTAAAATTTTAAGTTAAAAATTTCAAAAAAGTTGGAAAAAATGAAAATTTTAGATTTCCTGATTGTGGTTTGAAAATTCTTGAAATTTTAAATTTTTAAATATTTTTTGGTTTAGAAAATGAATTTTAGGCTTAAAATCAAAAAATTAGGCTTAAAAGCTAAATTATAGGATTAAAAATTAGCCTTTTATTTTCTGGGTCTAAAAGTTCTTAGAAATTAAATTTTTTTTTAAATTTTTGATTTTTATGTATGTCATACTGTATTTTTGGGTGTGTACTTTACTTGTAATGATTTGTCTTTCATACTGTCTTTTCATACTGTTCTTTATCATTTAATGCCAATTTTTATCTATTTCTTTACTTAGTGCCATTCTTTATCATGTTCTGTACTTTCATACGCCCTTTACCCTTCTACTCTTTCATGTGACATTTCTTGTTTGTACTAGAACATATTTTGTAGCTTGTGCATGATTTTTTCATACAACAAAGTTTGAGTATTATAAAGTCTGTAGTGCCACTATAATGCTTACACTTCATCATGTGCCATTTCTAACTTGTTGTTTTGCATGTTAAAAAGTAAATAAATTAAATGAGTGATAGTTGTTGAAGCTTGTGCCAATTTGTGACCTAGGCTGAACCATACATCAGGTCAGGTACGATTTGGCGAGGGAAGAAAGTGCTGAAGAAGAAATTAAGTTAGAGTAGGGACGTCATTGTACTAAATGACATCAAGATTTGTCTTTGTAGGGTAGGGTATGGTCGGTTGTACTTATACAGTAAGTTACAGTACTTGTGTACAGGTGTAGTAGGGTAGGATAGGAAATAGTAGGTTAGAGTAGGATAGGGATCACGGCAGGTAAGGCAAGGCTCTGTAATACCGATATATTAGCCTTCAGTAGCCGTAGCAATTTAAAGTAGCAAAAATTGTACTTTCGATTGCTAAAAAAGGTAAAAGAAGTGGGTTAGGTGATCTGTTACAAGATGATTAGCTTCCGGTTCATCTTTTTACCTTTCTCAATGAGCTCTTAACTACTAGTGTCATTAGAAACACTAATTAACTTTTTGCTTTTTCTAGCTTCTAATTATTGTATAAGAAGCCTAGTGTTAGCTGTTGAAGGTTAATACTATATTATACTTGTTAGTATTGACATTTACTATATAGTACTTCTTAGTACTGGGATATGATATATTATACTTGTTAGTACTAATAAATACTAAGTTCTGCGTGTGAGCACTATTATAATTTAAATAGTGTTGCTTAGCATTGACGTATACTATATTGTACTTGACAGTACTAAGTAAATAGAATCACATAGAGGAAGGAGTGCCAAGTATAAGTGTCATCCCTCCATTTCCTTCTTTAAGTACTCTAACAAACAAAATTCTCACTATTTTTGTTTGTTTTGACAGTACTAGTACAACATCAGTACTATAATTTGTTGTTTTCTTGTGTTCTCTTCTTGAGAATGGACTTTTCTTTTATAGTACATGCCCTTATCCTGCTCATACCCACCAGAATGAACTAAGAACTAATTATTAATTATGGGTAAGAGCGCGAGTTCAGTACGAAAGTTAAATTAGCATGGTAATGCTTGAACTTATGGTACTTATAGAGTGAAATAAGCCTAGGAATTAGTTTTTAAAATTTTTTAAACCTAAAATTCATTTTTAAGCCTAAAATTTTGTTTTTAAGCCTAAAGTTCATCTTTAAACGTAAAATTCATTTTTAATCCTAAAATGCATTTTTTAAGCTTAAAATTCATTTTTAAGCCTAAAATTCATTTTTAAAGCCTAAAGTTCATCTTTAAACTTAAAATTCATTTTTAAGCCTAAAATGCATTTTTCAAACCTAAAATTCATTTTTAAGCCTAAAACGTTTAGAAATACCTAAAAATCATTGATTCTTATAAGCCTAATAATTACTGCCATTCTTTTTTTTATAAACCCGCTTAAAATCTTTAAATCACCCCCCCCCCTCAAAGTGAAACTCGTTTATGAGCTGACTAACGGCGAGAAACGGCGCGGCGTTCCTTCCACTGCCAGACGGCTTCTCCTTTTTTATTTTTGATCGTTCGACTCGCTGCAAAGGAATAAAATTAAAAATTTCGAACCGAATTTGTGTGCCAGGCTCGGGTTTTTTTTGCGGCGGGTGCAACAACACCAAGCATAACATTAGGCGAGAGTTCAAAGTTTGTTCGAGCTATGTGGGTCAGATTTGGAGGTTTAGGAAAAATATGGTTTTAGGTAATAAAATGGCTATTGTTGTAACAAAATGAAAATTTTGGGTAACAAAATTTACATTTTAGGTAACAAAATGAAAATTTTAAGTAACAAAAATTTTTTTTGATTTTAGTTTAAAATCTATGAACTTTATACCTAAAACATAAAATTCTATAAACTTTTAGACCGGCAGTAAAAAATCTTAAACTAAGTCTAACCTGGACCTATGAAAAGACAAAGCCGGTTCTAGTAGTAAAAAAGCCAGGTAAAGACTTGTAAAAAAACTGGGCCAGTCCTAGTGAACCTCTTTTCAAATCTAGCCTTAACACCATTAAAAATGTCCTTAAAAACCCTAAAATAAAGTTAAACTTAAAATTTATTACATTAAAGTCCCCCCGATGTTTGAAGTGATGTTTGTTCTCAAGAGGAAGCCAGTAAATTGTATTTGAATGTATATTACACTCGAATGTAATTATCTTAACTATAAGAGAACAAACAGTAGGTTTAATAGTAATTCCATATTGTTTTCTTGACTGTTTAGATTGGTCTCTTAAACTTTTCGGATTTGGCGGGCTTTTTGGAATTTGAAAAGGGCTAGAGATTGTAAGTTTGAGTTTTGGTCCAAAAGTTTATAGAATTTTGAATCTTGGTCCAAAATTCATAGAATTTTAAAGTTTGGTCCAAAAGTTCATAGAATTTTGAATCTTGGTCCAAAAGTTCATAGAATTTTAAAGTTCGGTCAAAAAGTTCTTAGAAATTCCCACTTCAACCCAAAATTAAAAAAAAATCAAAAACTAGCTACTATTCCCGCTGAAATGGTGCAGCAATCAACTGAGTAAACTCGCTTTCCCGAAGCACTTTTGTTGCACACGCTTTATTCGAAAGCATGTTTCCTCGCTGAACACCTTTTCCTTAACGAACGTTCGCTTTTCGACGTTCGCTCACAGGCTTGTGACTTGTTGTGACACAATAAAACCATAAAACGAAAAAGCGAGCTGTTCTCGTGAAAACACCACGTGAAGCCAAAGATTATTAGACGTAGCGAGGAATCCGGGAATTATTCTTGGATTTGGGTGGAGGGGAGACAAACAGAGGAGAGCTACTATCTTCTAAAGATAGTAGTACCAAGTATAAAAGTACATGAGTGTACCTTGCATTTAAAGTTAATTTTAATGATTGATAAAGGTATATTAGGGTGAGTAGGATAAGGTAGGGTAAGCCAGGATGAGGTAGGGTGAGGTACGGTGAAGTAGGGTATGGTAGGGTAAGCTAGGGTAAGGTTGGGTATACTGGGGTAGCGTAGAGCAAAGCAGAGGTTATAATTAGTACAAAAAGTATTAACTGTACTTGTCCTAACTATAATATGATACTAGACTATAATATTACAGTGCTAACTAGTACTATCCTATACTGAAAAACATATAACAAGGAAACACATGCTCTAACATACATAATAACATCTCTCAAAGTTCAAAAGATACAACATACAATATTATATGTGTACTAATTACTTCTATTTTTTACAATGTTTACAATCGCTCGTGCTCCTCGGTACCACGAGCAAAGATAATAGTATGGTTACAGTCCAAAGTATAACAAAATTAATTATTTGTTTCTCAATTATAAAGCAACTTTTGTCGTATATGGCATGTCGTATAAGCGCATTTTCACAGTAATTAAATTTATACCT